TCCTCCAGTCTTTAAGTAGGCCAATGGTCATTAAACAGAAGCTTTAATTAAAAAAAAATGTTAAGGGGGTGGGGGCGGTAAGGATGTAGCTCAGTAGTAAAGTACCTCTGTATACTCAGTAGGAAAATTTTTTTTTTAAAATTATGCTAGGTTGGTAATATTCCAGGCAGAACTATAGGAAAAGGAATCTATGGAGAACTGTAGGGGGGGAAAGAGACCTCTGCAGAAAGCTGGAGTATCCTGAATGGCAGAAAATTAATACGGTGCTGGGTTGCTAAACGAAACTAGTTTATAGAAATGGTCATAATGAGAGACGAAATTCTGTGTTTTGACAATGATGAGATAAGAAAGTTTTAAGTAAAGTTCGTTTATACTGCTGGGCTGGTGGAAGCCATACCATCTCCATTTTGGGAGTGTTTAGCTATTCCTGTTTCCTATCTGAACTCCACTGGCTGTGTCAACAAACAATAGCGCCAAACTTGTCTGGTTCTTGGAAACAAAACAGTCTGGATCATAGTACAGGAAACAGAACAAACAAATATGGACTATTCTCCCCTATGTTTACACAAGTATCCACTTGCTGCAAGAAAAAGAAAGAAGGGAATACATTATGTCGCCTACTCAGAATATAAACAGGAGTAGGAATTGGATGGGCTTTGATAATCAAGCAATTTGTCCTGAAAGATCTACTGAATTCATACCCTACTCTCCACCTTCTTTATAACTATCACCCCAAAATGCTATCATGGTAACTTTCCCCAAGTATTTGTGTATATGTGAATGTGTTCAGGAAGGGGAGTTGATATTGATGCCTTTTCATTGAATTGGCTCACAAAGAATAGGAAGCTGGCTGCACCAACCTACAAAGATAAGTCAAATCAGGCCAAAGGGCCAGAGGAAGTATGAGACACACACTGGAGGGGGCATTTCTTTAGAACTAGATACATGGGCACTTGCCAGCAATACACAAATGCTGCATGTGTGAACAAATGCCAAAATGTGAAAGCAAGACATTTGCACAAACAAGAAAACAAAAGGGTCTTTGTGTGATGGGTGGATGTGCTGAGAATGGAAAGGAATCCAACTCCTGGTTTTAAATTATAGAAAAGACTATTGAATGGAAAAGAAAATATACAGCTAAAAGTTGTGTATGGAGGGAAAAACCAACATACCACATGGAGCAAAGGTGCTGTATCCAAAACATGTGAATATACTGCAGGGCAAAGTATTTTCCAGTTTTTTGAGGGAAGGAAAGAATCAACAAATATGTATGTATATATATATATATATATATATATATATATATATATATATATATACACACACACACACACACACACACAGATACATATTGATTGAGGGAAACAAGGGGAAGTTCACATAAGTTAGGATTTTGATGAGAATTCTTGGCCATCAGACAATGCTTTAATTTTCAGGGGTTGTTTCCCACTCTTCTTTTCTTACATTATTTTGTATTATTCAGGGCATCCTCTGAGTCTTGATCATTTTATTTCCTAAATCTATACAACCTTTCAAGATATTTTCTGTGTTGTAAACTATTTCCCTTTCTTCATAATTATTGTCAACATCTAGCCCATTTCTTCAATTGCATTAGTTCTTTAAATGTCCCTCAAACCATGATAAATCAACATTCAAAAAGACCACGGAAAAAATCTAAAAAATTCATTTTAATTTCCATTTCATCCATGCTACCTAAAGCTCATGAAAATTCATCCAGAAGTTCCACTTATAGTAATTATTCTTCTACATTTTGTTTCTCAAAACTTGAAGTCTAATGCCAGGTGTGGTGGTGCATGGTATTAATCCTAGCAGCTAGAGTGGTTGAGGCAGGAGGATCAGGGTTCAAAGCCAGCCTCAGCTAATGATCAAGGCCCTAAGTAACTTAGTGAGAACTTGTCTCTGAATAAAATATAAAAAAGGCCCGGGGATGTGGCTCAGTGTTATGTGTCCCTGGGTTCAATCCCTGGTACCAAATAAAATAAAATAAAATAAACTTGAAATCTAGTTTTACATGTAATTCCGTTGTCATTGTCCTTTATGTAATATTATATAGATTGATAATTATGAAAATTGATTGGTTCTCTCCAAATTTCCATCCATTGTAGTAAAGAATATTTCAGTTCTAATCGGTGAATTAATAAGAATACATGGAGGAAATATAATTTCCTTTTATACAGCATAGCTCTTCCCAACTTCTTCATGTTGATCACAGGTAATTCCATAAACAAAAAGGAATACATTGCTCCCAATCTCTTTATACTATCTTTAAAAATAAGAGCCCAGGAAATGTTCTTCAAAGAATTAATGCAAAATTACATATAAAATCTATAATAATGAATAACCAACACTATAATGATGAATTACAGGATCATTTCAAATGTGCTGAAAATTTCCATTTCTAAGGAGGTAGTTTAGTACATATTCACATATATGCAAAAGTATGTGTTTATATACATATACATATATGTGGTGATGCATGACAGCAATTTTTAATAATAAATAATTGGAAGCAACAGAAATATCCTTCTATAAGAAGTTGGTTTTATAAATAATGATGCCTTCATACCATGAAGTTGAATGCAGCAAGGAATTCAAGGAATGGGAAGCTTTTTAGATAGAAATATAAAAGGATCTTTAATATATGTAGTCAAGTGAAATGGCGGAGGCAAAGCAATATATATCATGAGCTATAATGTGTGTAAAATAAAAGATATGTATTATCGTGTGTGTGTGTGTGTGTGTTTCTGCTATTATGGGGGAAGCATGCATTCCCTGAACACCTACCTTCAGCAAAGATTGATGGAGTGGTTTGTTATAGAGTATTATTTCAGCATGGGTACTGATCCATTATGTATAGGTCCTATAATTTATTCAAGCAGAATCCTACTGAAGGTATATTAGTCAGCCTTTCACTGCTATTACTAAAAGACTTGATAAGAACAATTAGAGGAAGAAAAGTTTTCCTGGGAGCTCATGGTTTCAGAGGTYTCAGTCCATAGACAATCAGCCTGGTTCCTTAGGACTTAAGGTAAAGCTGAACATCATGGAGGAAAAGTGTGGTGGAGGGAAGCAGCTCAGGACATGTTGATCAGAAATCAGAGACTCCATTCATCAAATGCAAAATATATATATCCTGAATGCATCCCTAATGTCCACCTCCTCCAGCCACACCCTTCCCGCCTTCAGCTACCACTCAGTTAATCCCATCAGGGGATTAATTCACTGATTGGGTTAAGGCTCTCATAATACAATCATTTCACCTCTGAATGTTTTGCATTGTCTACACATGAGCTTTTGGAAGACACCTAATATCTAAACCATAACGGAAGGCAATTTGGATTAATTTCAGTATTTCCCACTTCCCACTTCATAAAAATATATTTTTATCAATGTATCTTTAGAATAGATTCCTTGGAGTGGAAATGCTGACTGAAAAACAAAAATCATATGCCATTTTGCTAGGTAATGTCAAGTTTCCCTCTGTAGCAATTGCACCATTTTGTATTCCCCACAACCTTGCCAACAAAATATCATCAACTTGTAGAATTTTGTCAATTCAATAATTGAAAAATGCCAGCCTGATTTTTAGTATGCATCTCTCTTATTATGAGMAATACAATTTAAAATATGTCCTAAGGGTCTTTGACTCTTTTTATGTAAACTTTTATATATTTTGTCCATTTTCCTATCAGATTTGGGGTTATTCTCTTTTTTATTTCTTGGATTTATTAGCCTTATGTCTCTGAAATAACTAATATGTTTTTCAGTTGTCGTTCATCCTTTTATTTGATTATGGTATTTTTTTTGATGTGGTCAAATTTTTTATGTAGTTAAATTTATTCATTTGTTATTTAGGTTCATATTAAAAAACAAGTTTTCTGGGCTGGGGATGTGGCTCAAGAGATAACATACTCGCCTGACATGTGCTGGGCGCTGGGTTGGATCCTCAGCACCACATAAAAATAAAAAAATGTTGTGTCCACGGAAAACTAAAAATATTTTTTTTTGATCTGTGATTGTTTCTAATTATCTTAAATCTTATGGTAACGTATTTTACAAATTTGTATTGATGGGTATATCTCTTTTACCTTAATCTTTCCATCTAATAAGTTGGCAAAAAGCACCACTACCAACCACCTAGATGTTCCATAGTATTGTTTCTGAATAGTTGTTTAAAAACAATCCTGAATGATAACTTAGTCTTAGAAAATAAAGAATTAAAAAGTAAGGTCTAACTTGTTACTGTATTATGCTGACTTAAAAAGCATCTGAACTTATAGATCAACTTTAAATTTGAGAAGTGTTAAATACTCTTTATTTAATATCATACATAAACCACACTAAAAAATGCCTTTCCATAAGGAAAGAACAGCATTTTAGATACAGGGAATTCTAATTAAATTGGCATGGTCAACAAAAATATAAAGCAGACACTGCTTCCTTATCTTCAACCTTTAATAGGCTAATGAACACAAATTGAAACAAATGTGAATCATGCTTGGTTCTGAGAGAGTGAAGGGATTTCCCCCATATTTTAAACATATTCACATAATCAGTTCT